AATCCTACTTCAAGAACAAAGATTTTTCTGTTTTAGTGGACCAGAAAAGGACCAGATCAGATCAGAGACCAGAAAAATCACTAGTGGAATTCCCCCAGGCTTTACCTTAGGGCTCCTCCTTTTCATTGTCAAAACAATGCTGACACCACATAACTATGCATTACAATGTTACCAAGGGAGTATGTACCCATCAAGCTTATGATAAATGGATAGATCAACACATTGATGTTCAAAAATGTTCCTAAGCTGAATAAAAAAACAAAAAAGAAAGTTTAAGCAGTTCTCTATGAGCAACAACTACAAGCTTGGTTTACACAGATGTAGAAAAAATAACGGCATTTTCTCCCTTGTGCTTATTAATGTTTTCAAATCTGCCAAGTCTATGTCATCATTTTAGAGAAAATATTACAATTCTGTTGTGTCCATGGCCAAAACAACATAAAACAGAACATATTGTAAGATTACAAGGTAACAGTAAATAGGGTGTGTTTATGATGCAGCAGGGTTACCAGAATAATGTGGTTAACTTCCATTCCCAGGTTTACAAACTCCCTCACTGAGCCTCCTCTGTTTTGACAGAGTGACTGTAACTGTGTCATCATAACTTCTGCTGGGCATGTCTCATTTGTTACCGTTACTAATGTAATCTAGGGTGGGAGTGAAATAGAGAGAGCCATGTCTGAGAGTTTGGGTGATTTCACTTTGTCCTGAGACACACTTAAACTGTTTGCTGAAGGTTGGACCTGACCTTGGCAAGTCTGTTTCAGCAAACTCTGCATCTTCTCTGGTATCAGTGAGGGCTTGATGAATGCTGGATAAGTTTTCTAAATAGATGAATGGTTTAATAATGAAAACGTACAAGGTTGTTGTTCATCCACTGTAGAATAATATGAAAAACAAGTTTATTTCAAATTCTTAGGAAAACCTTGAAACCGACAGGAATAGAAGAAGCACTGCACTTTCTCAATATATTAACCTGATGCAATGCTTGAATAAATTGCTCCTTTATATGTATGAAGAAGGTAAATTAATTCAAACCTAGAGGCAGAACCCTGTTTTTTCTCCATTGTAAGGGGTCCATCCTGTTCTTGCACCATTTTTTCAACTACTTATCAAGCTCTCATTTGACCATGACTCAAATACACCGTTTTGAGTAAAGCCACATATCTGTATTAATAGAACAACATTTTAGCAGTAAGATTGGTTGTATCCACGTCTGAAAACATGTTTAATAAGGTAAATTGATATTTGTAAAATTTTAGTTTCAAGAAAGTTCTTTCTAACATCTTATGTTGTTGCTCTTTGCAACACAACAGGATAAAGTAGCAAAACTCTGGAAATCACTTAAACTTGGGTTTGTAGAGGTCAAAAATGTACCCGTTTTCCTTTTAATGATGTATACCGAGTAGTCTAGTTGTAAAAAAAAAAAAGAAGAAGGGGGATGGTGGATTTTTTTTTTTTTGGAGGCATACATAGCCTAATTAATATAGTCTATTAACCTAAAGAAACATGCATGGTATGGTTGTTACATATCAGTACGCCTGTCATTGACCTTGACCAAGGAACCATACAGTAGAACTGCAGTCAGTCCCTGGACTGGCATGGCTATCACTGCCCCTACATAGTTAGGTAAAATTTTCCCACTGGGATCAGCTTCACGGTCATGATAAGCCCCATCTTTTATTTTAATTATCTTTATCTTTATCAGGCTATTCGTAAGCCCACAGTCCACCAAATATTGAAAGGGCAATATTACTGCCAGTACTGTTAATATATAGTAGAAATTTTACACATTTAGTAATCAAATGTCACAGTGGATGGTAAGGGGGGATGGTCATTTAAGAAGGTGGATGATTTTTAAGATTATTTTAAGAACGGGGATGCCATAACCCCTCAATTCGAGTACTGTGCATATCATTGAGTTTGAGTTGTTCTCCGTTGTCCAGAATCCAAAGCTAAGGAACTAAACAGAGAACCATAATCCCATAATTTATCCATCCATTCATCGAGCTTGAAAGAGTTCAGACTGGGCAACTGGACATGGAGTATTTAGAAGACGTTTTGCTTCTCATCCAGGATGCTTCTTTAGTTCTAACTAGTGGTGGGGACCACTGAGATTAATATATTGTAGGTGTAGAAAGCTTAACGTCCAGTCATTTGAATCCATACTGTGGGGAATAAGAGCCCTTCAGGCCCTTTTAAACTATGTATCTCCAGCACTCTATCTCTGTGGTCTCAAACTCAACTTGAGGACTGCTGTCTTGATACATTTAAATGCAAAGCGGAATTAAATGGCTAAACTACCACAAGCACCAGTCAAGCTGATTAGCTCATAATAGAGTCATAACGACAACTGATATGGACACAGACCACAAAAAAATTGATTAGCCTAATGAATGTAAAGTCATCACATTGGATATGTTTAACTATCACTAATCCAGCAGAAGGAAGTTTTTTTAGTGTCACACATAAAAGTGAGATGTTACGAAATACCTTCCACTTTCTCTGTAAACTATTTCCTTCCTTCCTTTTTGTGTATGTATGTACTTTTGAAATGTTCTTATTTTGTTTTTTATTATGTTGGCTCTGACACCATCCTAGAGAGAAATATCAGCTGTGTAGCTGCCGTCAACACCTTTTATTATAGATGTTGGGGGTCGGCCTGTTTTTCAGTGTATTCATGCTTCTCTGAATGTGACTGGCTGGATGTGCTCTATTAATCCTCTGACATGTGAGCTGGCTCGGAGCTCGTTTGCCTGACTGTGTGTTTCCTGGACAGGGCCACCTTTTACATTTCTGCTTCTGTCCCCTTGAACCCCAGTCGGCCTTGGCAGATGGCCGCTGACACTGAGCCTGGTTTTGCTGGAGGTTTTTCTCTGTTAAAAGCCAGTTTTTCCTTTCCACAGTCGCTACAAGAATTCTTAGTGTGAGGGACTAACTTTGAGTAAAAGACTTGATGCAATCAACTGGTTTTCCTTAGATATAAAACTATGAATCAATTTGACTGTATGATCTGGTGAACTGTAAAGTGCCTTGAGATGTTGTGTTGTGAAATGGCACTCTAGAAATAAACTGAACTGAATGGAATTAAGTTTATGTTTTATGGTATTTTTACTCAGCCACTTGGGACTATAATTGTCATATGAATTTGGCTGTATAGATAAACTTGACTTTACATAACTAGAAGATATCAATACACTTTATTAGCAATTGGGGGGTAATCTGGCGTGAGATTTCATTTAAGGAAGTCCAAGCCAGGCTGCTAGTCATTTCAGTTGAAGGGAAAGTTGACAGACAAGCTTTTGAGCTGTGGCTGGACGAAAAACCTGGACAAGCAAAAAGAAGCAGACATTAAGTGGGCTCAGTGTAGCTGCTACTTCCTGATGACGCCTGAGTAGCATCCTATTCTTATTGTATTATGTCCTGTTCTGTGCCTCCATCCAAGTAAGGTGCTTCTAGGACTGACGCAAATAGAAACACAAAAGTTAATTTCTTAACTAGCTCCGTTTAATGTTATTTTTAGACTTAGAATTACACAGATTTATATTGTCATTTTATATTCGTACACAAGTGTAAACATAAAGAAATTTTGTTTAGAACAGATCTCTAGATAATTTCATTTTTAAAGGGGAGCCTTGATAAGATAAGCAGCAGTGATTATAAAAAAAACTAAACAAGAAAAAACATTGTGATATTAAGTCACTATATCTAGATATGGAATGCGCATCATTCATGTTTGCTTGGCAGCAGTGATGTCAGACAGATTTGGATAGGATCTTAGCATCCAAATGGGATTTATACCCATGTGGAAGAGGATGTGATACTGGAGCATTATGGGCCTGTTGCCTGGGCTTCACCTATCAGTTGTTGTTGAGCTGCTGCTACTGCCTCCAGCTCCTGAAGCACACACTTCTCCTGGCTCAGGGGAGGAAGAGGACGATGATGAGGATGCTGTGAGGGTGGTAGCCCCCTAGGTTGAAGAGGCTGACATGGTTGAAGCAGCAGTGGTGCCATCGGCACCTTTAGCAGCAACAGACGATGCTGGAGAAGGTGTGGAAGCTGGAGGGGGCCAGGAGGAGCAGGCTGGGGATGTTTCAGGATTTGTCAGGGAAGGATCTAGAGGCCCAAGGGGAGACCCAGGACATGCTGGAGGGACTATGTTTCTCCCCTGGCCTGGGAGCGCCTTGGGATTCCCCTGGAGGTGCTGGCCCAAGTGGCTGGGGAGAGGGACATCTGGGCCTCCCTACTGAAGCTGCTACCCTCACGACCTGACCCCAGATAAGAGGAAGAGGATGGATGGATGGATGGATGGATGGATGGATGGATGGATGGATGGATGGATGGATGGATGGATGGATGGATGGCATGTAGAGTGCTCTCCTCATTTTCACATGCAGACGGCTGTGCTTCCCTTCTAGATGCTGAAGAGTGCCTGGGAACAGTCTCAGAAAAGTTACCATTCATGCAGAGCTCTTTGTTTCTATCGGCACAGTACAGCATCAGCCCCCCAGACCATCAGCACCGTCCGGTACTGCTGCCAAGACCCTGGCAGAATGATGGCGCAGCAGTTGCATATCTCCTTTTTTAAAGTACGTTCAAGTCGTAGATTATCCAGTTTGTTTTGTCTTGAAAGCCTTCAGATAATAAATAATGATGTTGCTACATATGCGCCTGTCTGTGAGGAAGTGACATCAGGGCATGAAAAGCTTAGTATGGTTTCAATGCACACACATTCATAGATACGTCACACTTCTGTGGAACTTCCTCTGGTTTTGGTGACTTATCAGTCAGCTTTAGCACTCATTTTGTGTGGGACTGAAGATCAGAGTGAAAATCTAAAGCTGCCGTAAGGAGTCCTCTTTTGAATTATGCATTCTCAGACTTGCTTGGATTTTTTTATTTATTTTTTTTTGCTCTGCTTCATTTTATTTGCTATTTTTTAACTGCAGCATGACCTTGTGAATGTTTATATTTTTGTTTCTGCTTTTGAACAGAGTTCATGCAAAGATGGAAAACACAACATATTATTATGAAGATGAAACCGCAGGAATGTATGCACCATGCGACAAGAACGAAGCCAACAACCTGGGAGCCCAACTCTCCATCCTCTTCTACTTCATGTTCGTTTTCAGCCTACTCGGCAATGGGCTAGTCCTGGCTATCATTTATAAGTAAGTGCATACAATTTTTTTAAAGAAAAAGAAAAAGACCAAGTTTGTTCAAATCTTTCACAAAAGTTACATCTATTCATGTACTGTTTTAAAAGTGGGCTAAGACTTCTTTTTGAGTTTTTGTTTCAGTAAAGCAATTTCAGCATTCTACATTTGGATGATTTCAAAAAATTAGAAATAAACAAAAATGATAGAAATGCAGAAATAGTACTAGAATAAGAAACTATCAATATATCTACACTTAAAAAAGAAAAGAAAGAGTGATTCTGTGGTTTTTATTATTAACATGGGACAATTAAATTGTATTTAATGAACAAGAAACAATGTTGAAGCTGGAGATATGATGAGACATGGAGATGTTAGATTATTTCAGCCTGCACCTAGAAACTTGGTATTGGCATGCTGATAAAAAAACAAAATGCATCTGTCTAAAGTTTATACAACCAGTTTATTAATAATAAATTGATTGGTTGTTTTCATACCTTTTTTTATTAGTTGTTCTCTGTTTGATTGACATCACTTAAACCTTTTTTTTTTTATCATTACAGTATAAAATAGGTATTGTTTTGGGTCAATATTGGTATACGTCACTCTCAAAGGTGTATTGAAAATGAAAAATTTGGACCAAGAATCCCTGTTTGAAAACAACTGAAGATACGAGTTTAAATGCAACATGATCCTGTCACCTTATACCGAATAGGTATGTGTGCTAATTAAAATTGGGGTTTTATAATTGCATTTAGCTGTACTTTATATTGTGTAGTGGAAAATTAAAAAAAATATACAAATAGACATGTTCACACTCTAATCATATTTCACTGGCCTGCTCTGAGCTTTCCCATGATGATGTCAGATAAGCAAAAGAACAGAGAGAATGTAAACAGCATCCAATTCACTCAGAAACATTTATAATTTTCCTACAATGTAACTTAGCCTCCTTGATTTTTTAAGGATAGAAAAAAGTACCTTTTGTAGTGTAATTACATTTTTATGGTGACTGGGGTTCAAGAATACAGAAGAAAAGATACAGAAATAAGCAGAGATACAAAAGGCAGCTGTAAAACCAGCATTTCTAAAACTGTTGCAAAACAGGAAGAACAGTAGAATCGTGCATGATTGTCGCTGTCTTGCAACTTTTGGTTGCATCTCTCCCCACCAATATCAGACAATCAAAATGCTGAAGAATCGTATTAATACTTCAGAAGGTTTTGCAAAGACTATTAATTTATAATAAAATACCACAGATACTTAAAAAAACTTTACAATAACAGACTTGAATGGACATTACTTTGTATGTTTGTACAGTGGACCAATACAAATGAAACTGCTTTGCTTGTAAGTAAGAAAATTACTATTGATTCATGCTTAGTATGGCCATTAAGTAGGGTTAGTGGGATTGGTTACTGCACAGTGTTTTCACAGGTTTGTTGGTTACACAGCTGCAGCTGATCCAAAACTCTGCTGCCTGTGTTCTCACAAGAACTAAGAAAGTGGAGCAAAACAGCCCAGTTCTGAAGTCCTTCCAATGCTTTGTAGCTCAGAGAATTGACTTTAAAGTCCTTCTGTTTGTCTACAAACCACTGAAAAGATCAGCATATACATGACAGATTTATTGTCAGTGTATCAACCTCCCAGACCACTCAGGTCTTCCATTTTCTTTTTTTGTTTGTTTTTTTTTCAGCATTTTATTGTCATTACACTGTCACAAGTACAGAGCAACGAAATTCATTCTCTGAAAGGGTCTTGCTTTAGGGGCCAATAGTGGCAGTCTGTGGCAGTTGGGCTTAAACTCAGAATGTCTAGATTCCAAACGCAATCCCCTAACCACTAGGCCAAGTTCAAGTAAACTCTGTTCACCCAGAACTAAAACCAAACATGGAGAAGCAGCATTTAGTTCCTCTTGTTCACTGACATGGAACAATTTCCCAGAAGACTGGAAAAGTGCTGAAAGCCTGAGTTTTTTTTTAAATCAAAGTTTAAAACCCATTACTTGAGACCTGCCTTTTACTGTTGAAGTTAAACTGTTAACTGGGGTATTATTAGTTCAGGATTTGTTTTACTTCCTGTTTTTTATCTTCTTTCGAATATTACTTACTTTTTCTGGATTCTTTTCCTTTATTTTTTTATATATTTCAAATCTAAAACAAACATTGTGGATGTCTAGAAGATAATTTCTGATATTTTATATTTGATTTTTGACAATGAATAATATTTTAGTGATCCACAAATGGAGAAGGGAGCAGAGCACTACTAGTAAATGTCGAAACAACCTGCCATAGAAGACTTCATATAAAGTTACAGATTAACTTGAGCAGCAATCCTCTCTTATGACATCTCCCTCTTCTTTGCATGCAGTTACTCTTTGTTTTAAGCACATTCATACATTTCTTTTCTAATTCTTCATTAAAATATCTAGTTCAAGTGGTGTGAAATAGGCACTTTTTGTTTTCTGTTGTCATGGTGACTGTTGAATCAGAACTCCATTGATAATGTGTTTTCATAGTTTTTACGCACATACTCGACTCCAAGTGAACCTACTCAGAGTTGATTAAACTAACTCAAACCAGCTGTCGTGAAACCAAAAACTCATATTTTCCAACCTTACACCAGATTGATTCAGATTTGAGGATTTGAGTTTGTTATATGCACAGGCCTCCAAATCTCCAGGTCTGCTCCTTATTTGGGGAATTCCATGAGATACCTCTGCTTCCTGCTTAGCACTGTGGTGCTTCTATCTGTCCATATGTTTGACATATTGCCTTGCTCTTATCCAACACCATTGCCAACTATGTAGCAACTTTTAGACCCCTACAGAGAAGTTTGTTTAAAATTTACGGGCTTCAAATCTAGCAACTTTTGTCTGTGATGATTGAGACTTTGGTGACAACAATGAAAGCCCTGTTTGCTCTGAGTTGACCATCTTTAGCAAGCAGCAAGTGCTGCTGTTAGCCTTGCCAATTGGAAAGCACTGACAGGCGGTCAGCCTCAGCAGTCTTGCTGTGCAACAAACTCTGCCTGCAGTCAGAGCAGAGACTCCACTCTGTTTCTCCATTGAACATAATTCTGGAATGAGGAAAACTTCCACTGATTTTACCCCGGCTTACAAAGTAGGATGAAAGTATAATCTAAACATAATCTCATACAAAATGCTGTTCTTTTGTCTGACACTGTTGCACCTAAATAGATCCCTCCCTGCATTTGATTCACTTACAGCTTCTGTTATTTATTCATCTCATCGGCTTTAGGGACCTCTACTATCTTGGATATATTTGATAATATAACAACATTTATAAATGCAGTCTGGATTCATGTAAAATAATATTAAATAGTGAAAATACTTTAATAGATTCAATTTTATTTTTGTTGTTTTAAGCATATTTGCAGTCTTTTGTTAATCTCTGCCTTGCAAATGTTTATATTGCTCTCATACGTACGACATGCACATACAACAAACCTTTTCATTATCTTTATGCATTTTATATAAAAACTTATTTTTATAAGGTTAGTATTTTATCATTGATATGAAAAACAATGTTTATTCTGTTTTTATTTTTTATTTCAAATGTTTTAGCCCAAAATGTTCAAAAACACACTCATTCAGTGCTCATTATTGATTTAGTGTTTTTCCCTTTTGTTCATTTTTAAAAAGTTGGTATCGATAGGTATTTTAATAAAAAACTGGATTGTATTTTTGATGATAAATCCATAATGATATCCATCCCTACCTTTCAGGTTTGAGAGGCTGACCACAGTGACCAACATCTTGCTGCTGAACCTGGTGGTGTCCTCGCTGATCTTCATGAGCAGCCTTCCCTTTTGGGGCATTTATATGCAGATGTCACGTTGGATTTTCGGCAATGCTATGTGCAAGATTGTCGGAAGCACTTACTATATGGGCTTTTACAGTTCGGTTTTGTTTTTGACTCTGCTGACATTTGATCGACACCTTGCTGTGGTGTATTCGCTGCCTGCAGCACATCTGAGGAATCAGAAATATGCTGTCATTTCTTGTGCAGTGGTGTGGCTCTTGAGTGGTTTGTCATGTATTCGGCCGATGCTTATTCGTGGAGCTTTTAAATACATAGATAATAAGACCTACTGTGAAGAGACTAACAGTGTCAATATTGATTTGGAAAAGCTGATGAATTCTGGATTTTATATTCAGCTTATCATTTTCTTAATCCTCCCTCTGGCTGTTATTATCTATTGTTACATTAGGATTACTATCACAGTCGTTTCATCCAAAATAGGGACCAAATTCCAAACAGTCAGGCTGATTTTCATTATAGTACTCCTGTTTTTTATCTGCTGGACCCCTTTTAACATTGTGGAACTCATGGAATATAAGACCAAAGACTGTGAGACATTAAAGAAACTTTCTTACACTCTTCAAATCACTCGTTTAATGGCGTACTTTTACTTTTGCATCAGTCCGATATTTTATACATTCGTAGGGAGAAAATTCCAGAACTACTTTCGACAGCTGCTGATAAAATACTTCCCAAGTTTGAAGAAGTACATTTCTGTTAATGAAATCAGCCGAACAAACATTTCTACAAAGATAACTTCGAACGAGCTGATTAATGGCGGCCAGAACAGTTTATTAACAAGTCAGTCAGAATATGTGTGAAAAAAAACATCAATTAGATGGAAATCCAAAGAAATATCATGAGAAAGTCTATTAATGAAGGGAAATAAATGCTTAATGATTACTAATTACCAGAGCCAAAACTTCTTTAGATTTTAATAAATTAAATTGTTAAACTTCAAATTCTAATTAGAAAAAATAATCAGTGTACAGGTGTTAAAATCCAGAGATTCAGTTTTTTTTGCTGAAGTAACACAAGCATAACACTGGCGAACATTGCCATAAAATAATACTTTCATCAGATTTACTCTTATTTATTTTGTATCTCTACCTTGCAACCAATACAATATGACCAGAAGCTAATGAGTCAATGTGAATTGAATTAGCATTTTCACGTTTCAGTATATTTCATATATGATGTTATCCAGTATGTTATTATATGATACAATGAATGATTTATTAAAAAAAAAATTTGAACAAAAAAAATAAAAGCACAAGAGAAATAAATTAACAGATATAAGTTTAAAAAGGAGCAGGAAGAAGTATTCACTTATTTACTTCTACTCAGTTGTGTAATATAGTTTATTAATTTTAATGTATAATATTCTTCAATAAACCATCATTAAACCCCACATTCCATATTATGTATCTTTGCATGATTGACTTTATTATATATATATATGTGTCTCTTTAAAGAAGTATATATTAAAATTCAACAACACAATACTAAATAAAACAATGTAGGCCAATATACAATGTAAAGGAGCCCTAACTTGGTATTTTACTGGTATAATCCTTCAGAAACATTCCTCAGGAGGAATATAAACTATTTCTCCCACAATGCAGGTATGGTTTCACTAGGAGAAAATGTACTTTTTGGAAAGACATCAGTGTTTTAACTTCTCTACCCTCATTTTTGCAGCTTTTTTGTGTTTTTCTCATTTGCCTCCTTTTGTCCATTGGAACGAATTTTATTTTTTTATAGAACCAATTCATCTACATTTTACTTTAAAAGACAGATAAAAGTCGATACCCACTATGAATGCACAAATGTAAATAGAACTGTTAGTATTTTGTGATAATAGTTTTAGATTTTCCTGTTTAATGTTTCTTTTTTAGAGCGAATTTAAGAAATCTAAATTACAGTACATAAAGTTTGAATGTGGATCATAAAGTAAGATATTGTTTCTCTTTGTTGTAATTACCTTGTTTTTGGTGTAAAAATCTATTGTATTTTCTTAAACAATGTGTATTTTCAGTTGATACTGTGTTTATATCTTTTGCTTTTATCTTAGATCTGATTAGATGTTTAATAATTAAATAAAAGTTAACTTCAGAACAGCTTGTCTTTGGATAGTCTTGATTTTGAAAATTATGACACAGGACTGCCTGTGAAATAAAAACAAATTCACCTTAGCTTAGCGACAGCCTACATCACAGGGATGAGAGTGTAAAATGGATGGAGTTCGGCAACAGCTGCTATGTCATGGTTCTGCCCTTTGTGGACTTCTTTCTGAGCTTCTTTTTGAGTTTTGAGTTATTTATATAATTATGTTTTTTTTTCGGTCTTTGGTTTCTTTTCCATTTTGTGTTAGCCTACATTTAAACAGTAATGCATTTTTTAAGTTACTCTCTGTTGTGCCCTTGTGCCAGTCTCCTTTCCCCTAGCTCCCTTCTAGTTACTTATATCCACACTTGCTCCATATCAGCTGATTTGCCCATTCCTTGTTCTGTTTGCCATATATACATCTTTTTTACTTAGCTCAATGTGTGTTTTCCCCTGGCGACTCATGGTTTTGTTTTGTTGTGGACTGTTCCTGGATTTTATTTGCTTCTGCTGTCATCTGCTTTTCATTAAATCTGCACAAACTCAATGGCCTCCTACTGCTCTGTATTTGGGTCCTCAAATTACTTCCACCACACCTGACACGCAAATCCCTAGTTTAGCAAAGTTTAGGGTTAAACCATTTGCTCTATTGAACTGGATTATGGAGTTAGCTAACATAAGTGTTGCAGTGCATTGTGGGATTTTGGTACATGGGAGCTACAGCAGAGACAGCTGCTGGCGGTTTCAATTAGTGGTCACCATCTTTGAAAATCTGCAGGTTTTGACCCATCAACTGGTAAGCTGAAGATTAGCTGTAAGAAATGTATCATTTTGAAATGCTTGACTGGATCACCTGTCTAGTTATAATGTTTCCTAATGCCCTCATTATCATGTCCGGAGACTTTAACCATGTCACCATGAACAAAGTCCTGCCGACCTTCAAACAATATGTGAGCTGCCCTACCAGAGATGAGAGGACCCTGGACCTGATGTATGTTAACATTAAAGATGCATACATCTCCTCTCCCCCCTCTGGGCAGGTCAGATCACAACCTGGTTCATCTCAAACCTTGTTATGTGCCTCTGGTGAAGAGGAAGCCTACGACCACAAGAACTGTAAGGAGGTTGTCGGAGGTGGCTTGTGAGGCACTTCAGACCTGCTTTGAGGTGACTGACTGCCCTGCACTCTGTGAGCCCCACGGGGGAGGACATCGATGGGCTCACAGACTGCATCACGAACTATATCAACTTCTGTGTGGACTGACTACTATAGCCACTAGGTGGCAGTCTGAGTCCATTTCGGCGTCCCTTTTCAGATGTAAATGCCCCATTAGCCCTGTGGCTAGAGAACAAATCCACCCCCTTCAGTTTCAGTTTCAGCTAAAGTATCTCTCCTTGAGTGTTTTACCTGAGAGCAGGGGGGAAAAATCATATTTGTAATTAAATATAACTAGGTCTACGTCATCAGTGTCGCCAACACCGCAATGATTTCAGCGCAGCCAGCCGCACAGCAATCAGACAATAACTGATCTGTACAATAAAAATAGCTGCATGAGCTGGAGAGCTGTAGAAAGCAACAATATTTATACAATAATGACCATTTAAACGATAATGACCGTTATTTATTTGGGGGGAAATATAACTCTTCCACTGCAGACACGCAGCCAGCATCGCGAGACTGCAGTAAAGTTAGCAAAAATATTCACAGATTCGGCTTTTCCGGAATTATTCTACAAATTATTTATTCTGCAAAACAGACACCAGAGCAAGGCAGACAGTGAGCTACAACCATAGTTTCCTAAAAACGAGTCTTCTATCGCGCTGGGAGAATTACATTTGATCCTATGGAGAGCACACTGCTCCAAAAATTCTCTGTCTGCAGTTCGCAAAATAATCAGAGAGAAATATTCAAAAGGGTCACCAAGGAGAGGTGGATTATTATCACATTCATTGGATTCGAAAACAATACTTTTTTGAGGAATTTCCAAAAGCCTAAATGACAAATGGCACCTCTATTCTATTATTAGAATAAGTATAAAATGAGCAATGACTACACTATAGATCACTGTACTGCCTTCCAACTTGTAGCATAAACAGATAACCTCATCTGGATCATACTACAACTCTTACTTTGGGAAGATAGGCCAAACTTTATTTTTGGAGATTTATTCATTGTTATTTTAAGCATATAATAGCCAAAAATTACTTGTGACTTTGACAGATTTATTTTGTCGTTTTGTATACACGTGTAAACAAAAAGAAATTTCGTTTAGAACAGCTCTAGACAATTTCATATTTTAAAGTGTAGCCTTGAAAACAGTAATGAATACATAAAAAATGGTTATATAAACATATGACTGTATATTTACAGTTCTAACACCCTTTTTTTTTTTACTTTGGCAAGATAGGCCAAACTGTATTTTTGGAGATTTATTCATTGTTATTATAAGCATATAATAGCCAATAATTACACTGTAGATTATTGTAGTGCCACAAAACGTATAGCACACATAGATAACCTCATCTAGTTCAGACTACAACTCTTACTTTGGGAATATGTGCTGAACTATTTTTTCAGATTTTTTCATTGTGATTATAAGCAGGCCAGGTTGTCATGATTCGTTCTCAGAGAAGCCCAATATGCAGAACACCACGGAAACAGATGGAAAGTTTTACAATGTTTATTAAAACACAAGCACATGAATTATGTGAACAGGAACTGGTTCTGGCCGGGGACAGGTTCACTGGAGTCTGTGAGGATGACAGTTCAGTTAGCGTTGGCACTGAGGAGTTGGCTTTTGGAAGTTTCAGAAGATTACCTTGAGGAGTCCGGATTTCTCTTTGAGGAAGGAACTGTTGGGTCCAGAGACTGATTTGCTCAGCAGAGTTCAATAACCGCTTCAGCGTCTTACTTCTGACTTGAATGCAGACCTTGGGTTTTGATTTCCAGCTCTTAGCCAAGAGCTGCAAAGGAATCCAGAGGAGAGTCTTCAGGTTTGGCTCTGAGGGCAGGCTCGGCAGGTTAAGCTCATCCAGAGCTTCCAAGGGAACAGGTTTCCTGTGAAGCACAGACAACAAAGGTTAGAAGATTGATTGATCACTAGGGAGATCACTTAGAGATTCTCAGGAGGTTCTAGGCTTAGGTGCTAACCAAACTGGATCAACACTGCGGCATTGAGGCAAGGTCTGAAGGCCGGTTATATACTGCAGGTCCTCCTGATGATGAGATGCGCCTCAGGTGTGTTGGAGGCTCAGCTTCAGGAGGATCCACGGTGCACTCTGCTGGAGACGGATGGTACCGCTCCAGATCCCAACACAGGTGCACAATCTCTGCAACAGGAACCACAGCACTGAGCATTGTGTTCACTGCATAAAGTATACCTGTCGCAAATGCAGGAAGGACTCATCCTTGGGTTTGTAAAAACTGGTAAATGGGACAATTGTAGCTTCATAGTGCTTTTCCTTGGGTCAAATAAATGTTACTCCAGTACTGAAATCGTACTGTTTGTAATTTTCTAAGCTGAAATGTTGAATGACGTGAAAAGGCGAGACAAGACAAGATACAATTATTCTCTAAGTTGTTCTTTCTTTCACATAGTGAACTTTGCAATATAAATGAGTCTGTTGGTGAATGAACAATATAAATAGGCTCTTCCTTGCCTTGTTGGAAAAGCATGGTTATGAACTGTTCTCAGCTCAGGAACTAGGACCCATATGATATCTGGTTGTTCAATAGGTTTGCCTTAATAAAATATTTGGATATGACTTATCAAGTTATTCCTGCAAAAAGGTCTGATGTTGCAGGGGCAGGTAATGAAAAGTGCTTGGAGCATGCTCTGGTTCTGATGCCAGTTTGTTTCAGCCTTATCCAGTCTCCTGTAGAAGGGCTGGTCATATCACAAGTTATTTGCATTACAACAAGGACACTTAGCAAGATAGAGTGAATACACAAACTTGAAGAGGGGAGGGGGGCTTGCAGGAAAACGGAAATTCTCCGCGACACTAGATGTCGCGGAGAATTTCCGTCACTTGATGGCCTATGATATCAAAAATTCTACAATAACTTATTTAACTTATTTATATATTTTACGGATACTAGCCTATTGTGCTGTTTGACACGTAACATTTTATTTTATGGCGTCTTTCTTTTATTTAGATCAGCTGATGTGCGCTCCACCTTTCCAAGGAATTACATTAGACCATAGGGGCACATTATGCAAGAATGCTGCTTGCTGCCCCAATGAATAGTGGCGTTTCTAAGCTGTTGTCAGAGATGGCTGTGATCAACGCGCAAGTCA